CCGTCTTGTGCTCAACACCAGAAAATGTTTTGTATACAATTTTAATTGGGTCTCATTATAAAGTTAATGATAGTTTTAACATTTTTACTTTCATACTAATTAATAATCAAGAAAGTTTTATCCTTATTATGTAACTTCAATTGTTTGTATAAAATTGAATAAAATATGGTTTAATCATAAAACTATATGTTGAACTTTAAAAAAACATATAATTCTAAAAATATATACAGAATGATTCCCCAAGATTGCTCACCTCCATATTTTCCTTTAATAATGAAATTATTCAAATTATAATTTTTGAAATTATCAAATTTACTCAAAAACCATATTTTCAAATTCTTGAGATTTTTCATACTACTTAAGGAGTATCATGTGGCGATACAAACATTTTTTTTCAATTGAGAACTCCCCATTATACTGTAAATTATTTAGCGGATAATTTTTGAGAATTCTGATATATTGAAATCAAAATTCTAATTAGTAGTTTTTGAGTTATTTAACTGTATGTTCTAAGGATATAAGGTTTAGGTTTATAAGATATGTGGTCTATGGTGGATTTGAAAATATTGGTCATTAATATTAATCTATCAAAATAAATAATTTGTTAGAACGATCTAAGTATCATAAATACTAAACTCCTATTAGAGTATAGTAAGTGTATTTTTTAATTTTGTAAAACGATTTTTAAGAAGTATTATCCTTAGTACAAACAATTTAATAACTAAGAAACTACTCTCCGATTTTTAATTAGGTACATCAAAATTTAAAAAAATTTATTTACTAAATAATTTACAGTAAAAAAAGGGGTTTTCATTTGAAAAATAGAAGTTTGTATCACTACAGGACACTTTTTAAGTAGGTAGTACGAAAAATCTCAAGAATTTGAAAATATGGTCTTTGAGTAAATTTGATAATTTAAAAAATTTTATTATTGTAACACTTTAAATATAATAATAAATAAATATTAATGATTACTAATCATAGAAAAGCTTTTTTTGGTTTAATTGCCTTACTTATTATTCGTTTATTTATGTAAGTACCCATACATTTTTTTTATTCACATGAATCTTGAAGTAGGTAACTCAATCAGAGAAAATCTTTATCTGTGTCTTATGAACAGAAATACTAGTTATATACTGCTATTACTATTAATTGTCACATATATATAGGTAGTTAATTGTTTGATGTTTAATGTATCTATACGTATGTATATACATATGAAAGTTGTTTTATTATAGTTGTCAGTATTTTTATGTAGGATACATTTTATGTGAGGTAGTATTTAACATCAATACGAAACCGGATTTAAAAGAGAAATAACATAATAATAGTTTACTAAACAAAAATGTATCTTTATATTGTTTACGATTTTAGACACATTTATTTTGTAAAGTAAAAAAGTATTTGACTTGGAATTTATGCGCTTGTTAAAAAAGTACGATTAAGCGTGCATTAAATATGTATGTCCACCTATTATATTGTGCGTCGAAATAATAAGTTTTGTTAAATTTCTTACGATGATGTGTCTGTAACTGAATTATGTTGACGGTTATTTTATAACCATAAAAAATAAAACTGTAATTTGTAATGATTAATTTCGAATATTTTGATAGAAAATATTATCGATTTGTATCTGTTTTCAAGGAATTATTCGAAATAATTTAGAATATATACTATAGGTATAATAAACATAATTTTATACTGTTTTTAGACTTCGATTCACATCCACTAGAAATATATTCTATTATATGCTCTACTGATGCGCAAGTATTCGACATTGTAGTATTATGTTATTCATATGTCTAATGGTGTTGGAATTGAGCTAGATGCTAGAATGATAGAAAGCCAATACCGTACAATCACAATGTATCTCCAATTCATAAGTAATTTTGATTTTTTTTAAACATAATTTTTTTCTGGGAACTAGTTTATTTGTGATAAATATATCCACGTTAATTATTATGCGTTGTAATTTATATTTACCTATAATTACAATATGATTCAATATAATTCAATATACAATTCAATATAATTGAAAATTATTGTGTCTATAATGATCAAATGATGTCAAAAGGAATAATAATTTAAAAACATGCTTATACAAATGTATTATCTCTTTTAACTTTTAAACTTTATGTTCTAAACAATTTTGAGTGGACATTTTTTATGTATACTATAACATAATAAGACATTTTCATAAATTTTAAGTTATTCATTTAAACAATTAGGTATCTATTGAATATAATAACAAAATCGAGTAACCATGTACTAGAATTTCAAAACTTATCCATCTATGTGTCATCTATATGTAAAAATTAACATTTCTTAATTCTATATTATATAGGACAAAGACAATCAAAAACAAATGGACTTATATCAATAGATTATCTGAAACTTGTGGGGTGTATATAGCTTATTTTTTACAACCACTAATGCTTGCTCACAAAAATCGAATGTTTTATTGTTCATTTCAATGATTGTCAATGGTTACCAATTATATTACTATAAAAAGAAAAAGAAATTCTATAAATCGTATTACTATTATTATTACTATTATAATTATTAGTAAAAATAGGTTATATAAAAATATTCATAAATTATCTTAAAATCAGATTATTTGAACACAGTAACTATAATGGTTAGTTTTGTAATTAGTTTTCTTAATTTTGGATATATTTTGGACCTAAACTCATAAAGATGAATACCAATTATATAACGATATTGGATTTATATTGGATTTTGAGTAGTAGTTGAACCTGTCTCCCAGTTTCTTGTGTTGGTATCAAAAATATGTGTTAAATTAAGAATTGAAAAATCATAAAAATAATCATTGTAATTGTGTTTGTATTACATATTTCAATTGAAGCAAAACGGAATACTATAAGAAATATATTACTTTTAATCCGGGCAAAGTAGGGTAGAACAGCTAGTTTACTTATAATAGGTACCTAGTTAAAACTTTAAAAATTCAGTTAAAATTATACTAAAAATAAAATAATTCCAAATTTAATATGTGAAAAAGTATTTAAGTATAATATAAATTATATATTCTATTGTATTACTTTATTATTATGCTATTTAATTGGTTGTAAAAATCTAAAATCACTATTTATTCAAATCTGTGACATTTTATTAAATTCTTAGAAAGTAAATCGTTCATCATTTCGCACTTAAAATACATTTAATTGGGTAATAACATCAGAATTTCAACAAATTCTTCTCTAAAATAAGGTGTTCGTTCATTATGTTTTGATTAATCACATAACGCGGAACTCTCTTAGCGCTGTTAATAGTTTGTTCCGCCAACCGCGTCCGTCGTAAAATACATACTTCCTCATTTTTCCGACTATTCGTTACAGAATCAAGTTTAAAGATGAACAATTTCATTAAATTAAAAAATAACTATCTGTTCACGTTTTTTTTTCTTTTTGATTATTATTCAATTTAATTTTAGAAATTATTTTACAAACAAAAATGTAACTACAAAACGCAGAGTTATTTTCTATCAATAATAATGTATTTTAAAATTTATAAATAAAAATAAAATAATTATTTTTTAAAATAATTCCATTCAAACTATAATATTGCATAACTAAACTGAATATTTTGTATTTTTAATATATTTTCTTTTGGAAATACTTATTAAGTTCTTAACATCTTAACATAAGTGAAGATGCCAAAAAAAAAAACATATATTATTGATGCGTGTATGTATAATGATAAGAGATAACATTTAACTCATTAAACTGTGAGATAATAAGAAAATAATATTATTTTTGTTTAACTTAAATTCTCATGCATTAATGTGGTTAACATTCGAATATAGTTTTTATGATTTTTTTTCTTATTTATTTAGATATTATAATTAAATATATCTGTTAGGTAAGTGTTTAATTTATAGTTGTAATGATTAAAACACGATACCTAGAATTTTTCATCAWAGGACCTATATTTCGCTTAAATATTTTTATCACCTTGTAATTTATAGGGTAAAAAAGCAATATTTTATATGTTAATTGTAATAACTTCTTTACATCTATAGGTATATAATTATTTTATAGTTAAAACGAATTTATTATATTACATATCTATTTATTCAATATTTTTTTTTTTTTTTTGGTTGAGATTTGACTAAATTTTACATTTTGTTTATTTATAAATTTATAAAGAGTGCACTCATAAATACACTCACAATTTAAAATGTTTGATTTTTATTTATTAAGTAATTAAGCTAACTTGTTACCAATCACGTATTGTCATATTATCATTTCGTTTGAAAAAAATTAAATCGACCATTATTATATTATATCTACAGTCAAAACTAAAATCACACGAGCCATGACAAAGCTTACCCGATTCGACAATCAAACTCCAAAGATAGATAAAAAATAATATAATTAGTATATAATTGCGTATTACAGTGATTTAGTCAACGAACCTGTAATTATTGCATCTGCAGTTTTTCTTTCATTAGAATTTTTCCGACGAGCTTCCCGGTATATCCATAACGATGATTTCGTTCACTGCGGTGGTGTTCGTGTGCCCACCTAAATATTTTATTATCAAGCCGGCGTTTACGACAGTAATTATTATCCGTTAGTTATAAAATTATCACACCTATGGTGTATAGTGCTCACAGGTAGCTGTACTACTATTAACACCATGAACCATTAAACGAAAAACGCGCACTGTGGCACATGCCCGCGATAGTTTGCGGCGCGAACAAACACCGAACACGAGACACGAGTAAATAACCTTTCACTGAAGAATTATATTTCAGTATTCCTATGACAGGATGTATATATAAACGTCCGTACCACTTCCAGTCTGCCTCACACTCCTTCCGTCTACAACAATAATATTTATATTCGATCGCGTGCCACCGAATGCCGTTATTTATTATATTTATGACCATTCTACGTGTCTACATATAGGTACGAACGTTTCAACCCTTTAAGCTATTTATCGYCGGTTCGTCCGTGAGACACACTTTTGATGTATATTTACGTCTACATTGAAATATTATATTATGTTAAATATTTGCATTCATTAAGTAAATTCGTAAAGAAATAGTCAACTTATGCAATTAGGGATGAAATATATAGGAGAGGTTACTAGAAATAATAACTTTATTAGAGAGCCGTTGTTTCAAGAAATAAAAATTGGATATGTTAATTGGGCCTACAGATTTTCTCATTTTCAGTGTTTATATACATAGATATTTATGTAAAATTATTTACTGAGCAATGATCGTTTAAATTTTTATGAATCGTTTAACATTATTCACGATGAGAAGACAACTACAATTACCATTCTAAAGAATATGGTTTTTAATTTTATTAAATAATTCATGAATATTCTCAGTTAGATAAATATAATACATAAACATAAGAATAAGGTATCTTAATAATTATTAATATAATCACTAAAATATGTTTTACATCAAAATATTAGTTATAATATAACATAATATCAAATTATTTGTTCATAATAGTGAACTATGTTTACTCTACGAAAACGTTCAATAATTTATAGTACTTACCTACAACATTTTTGTAATTTTTAAGTATATTGATACTAGGTTAATTCTTTAGTGTTTATTACACAATATTTTCTATAATCCACATTTTTATTACCTATACCTGCTATTACCGATCTGAGAAATCAACACTCATTGTAATCTTCATTTATATATGTATATATAAATAGATTTCTGTCTCAGACAGACAGAAGAACAAAGATAGACTTCTTTATGCATTTCTAAATGGCTATACCAATTGCGACGAAATTTGGTAAAGAGAGATATATTAGACTTATGGGTAGAAAAATAGGCTATGTTAAAAATAGTGATCGGCCCAAATATTATTCAATTGAATATTTGAACTGTCAGACTTTTCTCGATTAAACGAAAGAAATTACATAATGATAAACTAAATTGAATATCGTTTTAAGATTATTACTTATATCTGTATGTATAAAAATAATATATGCTAGCATAATCACAGGAAACGAATTTAACACACAATTTGAGACATATAAGAGGTTGAGGTAGCTATAGGATTTTAAACGGACTACAAATTCCACGGGTTTAACTAGTTGAATTAATATATTTTAATTAATATTTTATGTTATTTGAAATCATTATAAACCAATATTTTTAGATTCACATTCTAAAGCAGAACATTTTTCTAAAAACTGTATAAAAATATAATTTTTAACGATTAGTTAATTTAACTATTCTAAAAGTAACTATCTATTTTTAAAATTTAGTTGAGTGGATTAATATGACATACAGAAAGATCCCCCCC